AAAAATTAAATAGACACAATGGTGAAGATGGGAGAATGACTTATAATTTATAAACGTCCATTTGTTTTGTTTTTTGTTTTTCATAAACTGATTGACATGAATATTATGCACAAATGTAAAGTTATTTAATAATAAAATAAAAATTAAGGACATGACAATGAAATGAATGAATCCCAAACAATTGTTAAAAAAAAAAAAATCATAATTCTAAACTTAATTTATATATTATTTTTTTAGAAAGAAGGCCTTGTATAAGGGTTTTTTTTTTAAAAAAAAAAGAAGTTTTCAAGTAATTTCAAACTTTGCAAATTTATCTAATTTGTACAAAAACTAATCAAATTCAACGTTTATTGGGCTGAAGCCCAAACCGATCAAAACTTGACCGCTTTGTGTTGGGTCAGGTTTAAACTAATAATTGGGTTGGATTGGAAGAAAATCGACTCAATCCCACCCACGCCCACCCCTAAATATAGGGATCACTTTTTAGTATGGAAAAAATTCAAGGACCATCATGAAATATTAAGAAATATAGCGAAAGAATTGTAGAATTGTGGAAATTCAGGGTAGGTTTCAGAATAAATTAATGCTACTTAGCATAATTGGTGTTAGAACGCCCGCTTATGTAATATTATGTGATTGATTCAATTAAAGGTAAATTATATGATTCATTTAATTGTACATCTCATTTAATGACACTCAATGTTATTTAAACTAGTATTGTAATACCAGTGGTGCTAAATAAAATTATTATTCTTGAATATCCTTATTTTGTTTGGGGACAACGATGAAGATCAAATCAATCTAAGAATACTACATCATCTTGAAAGTCACTGATTGAAAAATATGCCTTCATTTGATAAATTATTAAATTTTAATCACATATTTCAATAAAACTAAATTTTAATTTGCCAAAATCTTTCCTAATTTATCCCTATTTAATTTTCAGTGTATAAAATTAAATTATTATTGGAATTAATAAAAAAATTTGAATTTTCAAGAAGTTTGCATATTACCCAGTTTGGTGCATATTTTGAAGGTAAGAATGCATTTTTACTGTTGATGTGATGGGAATTATGTGATTGAAAAATTAGGAAAGGTTATTNTGAGTGAGGAAAATTTAATAAGGGTATATTAATAAAAGAACACAATCAAAATATTATACATTAGGAACAAGCCTATATATTTGAGACAAGAGAAAAAGAAAACTCAACCTATATAATTGAGACGGAGATAATATAAATTAAAGTGTGAATAATTTTAAGTTAGGACACGACATTTAAGACTTCGGTGAGTGAAGTTTTGTTGGGATCAACATTGGAAAAGATGGTTTGTTGCTTCATGGTTTTGACTTAGCAAGTTGATGCATGAATTGGTCTGACGAAATTTTGAATATCTTTTGAAGATTCTCTATTTATATAAAATAGAGACGATCTTTAAATTTCCAATCTAAAATATATTTCAACAATATTCTTTATTTTAACTCTTTATTTTGCTTTTTCAATAAATATTTATTTATTTTTCATCGTTTTTGTTGTGAAACAAACAAGATACCAAAATCGCTCTAATACCACTTATTGTGAAACAAACAAAATATCTCTTGTTAGAAAAAATATTAATATGCTCGGATCGCTAAAAGCAATGTTGAAAATAAAAAAATTATGTATTGTTTAATACCACTTATGAGAAAATTATAATGGATTTCATAATTTTAGTAATCTATTTTCTCACACTACAAATTGTATAGAAGAACCTAATATTTATAGGGAATGTGTAGAAGACGTTTAAACCCTATTGGTAGAATTGTTGATTAAGTGAAATTCCAAAAAACTGAGTTCAAAACGAAATATAAGATAAAAAATCGGAAAAACGTAACAGAGGCAGTGGCACTACACCCCGGGCGTCGACGTTGTTATTAGAAAACAGCAAGGCGCTGGCTTATAGCCCAAATTTTTAAAATGCCTCCAATGATATTCTTCTCCATTCTGAACTCTTATTCAAGTTCAATACAAATTTTTAACTCCCAATATGCATCCAAAATATAACTTCAACTTGATATAGAACTTTAATAGCATTCTAAATTTGAATTTTTCATGACGTGCACTTCAACTAGAATTTTTCAATACTTCAAACACTTCAATAAAGAAAATCGGGTCACATCCACATTCCAACAATTATCATAAGAGATAGAGT